CAAGCTAGGCACTCCATGGGCTTCAATTACAACGGCAAGCCGCGCTCCGCAGAGTACCTGTACAGGACCTGGGCCCTAGGACGAATATAGCAGGGCCAAGTATTTACAGAGGGTTTTTACGGCATATATACATACATACATACATACATATATATATATATATATATGTAGATCTACATAGTTGAGGGTTGTGGTTGTGGGAAAGCTTGAGACTACTTGCTGGGCTGAGGTCTTTAGAGTTTTGGCCCAGGTTTTAGAGTTTGGACTTTAGGATGTATTGTTTCCCACGCTGCGTCTGTGGTGTTTAGGTGTAAGCCAGCCGGCACTTGTGCGGCAAACAGTAATCGTCTCAGTGTGGTTTTCCCCCACACCGGAAGCCCTTATTGGCAGGACAGATGGATCTGTTCTCCAAATTCGTAGAGCCGAGACGCTGGAAGACCTGTTCCGCCTCTTGGCTGTGTCTTTGAGGCCCATGGCTGTTTAAGCCCATAGCATTCATAGAGTCATAGAGGCCCAGGACCCCGAACCCCCAAGCTGCACCGGAGATGGCGGTTCGCAAGCAACCCTTTAAGCCGAAGGTTCAAACATGAAGCTCCAGAGGTATGCAGTCAGGGTTCAGGGTTGATAGGGAAAATGGGCCTTGTATATAGTGGGCTTTCGGTTTATATCGTTTAGGGTTGATTGATTGAGGGTTTAGATGACGTGGCGGATGTTACCTCCATCGCTAGCTGGCAAATCTGTCTTAAAATCATTGGGGGAAGCGCCGCTCAACACGACATCAGCCCAGTCACGTCTTGTAATACACCTCCAGACGTCCCCTTCAACTAACCAGGAGCGTGCCCTAAACCCTAACGCCCTGGCCATTAACCTTATCCTTTGTTTCCTCCGAGTCCGTGCTTGAGAACCCCCGTAAGTAGGGTCCGCCGTTTGTAGTGCTTGGGGCCCCGCAACTAGGCGAACAGGATTTTTCGGGATCTCAGGTGGGCAGGACGGAGTTTATTCGTTGGTTGCTTCTACGTACATTCCGATAGGGGCTGTTATGTGCTAGTCCAACCCCGAGTAGTTGCAGTCTCACTCTTCAGACCTCCACATGCCTAGCCTGGATTGTTCGAGTGTGGACGCCGAAACCCTAACGCCCTATACGTTCAAAGTGCCTTGCAGGCCTCGTACAGTACTGGTATGGACTGTTGGGCCGAAACATCACACGATGGATCCTTCGAGCATTCGGGAACCGACAAGCTGAATCATCATACCTTCAATGCTGCCCTTATACCCCTTCATATGTCGCAAAACTATATGTTTTGTAAATGTTCGTGCACACCCATTCATTCAACTCTTAAAGCCCGCAACTTCTTAGTGGACAAACCCAAAAAGGAAACGGTTAAACTCAAGCGCACGAGATTCCTGGAGGCACTGTGGACTTCGAGGCCGCACAGACCTTGAGTGCCTCGGCTCCACGTGGCTTCGTTTTTTGTTTGGGCCTTGAAGGCCATAACGCCTCTTCCAAAAATCCCAAACCCCAGTGGCCTGCAACCCCCAAACCCCTAAACCACCTAAAAGCCCTAAACCGATAGCCCACTTCACACTTCAATCCCTCCTCCAAAATGTCTTTAAAGCCCCCCCACCCCCCCCAACCCAAAAAACAAAAAAAAGCCTAAAAGCCCAAGGCAAGCCTCAGAATGGCCACAGCCACGAGTCGGCCAAGGGCGGACTTCTGAGCCCCTCGCAACCTCCAGACATTGGCGATATGTAAAGTTATATATTGCAGAATGTTATATATATATATATATATATTACAATTTATGATATAATCTCGGGTTTCTTAGGGTTCGAAGTTGGGGGGGTTGATATTCTGGGACTAAACCTGTTTGTTGTTCATGGGGCTTCGAGGCTTATAAAGGTTGCTACATGTTGTTTCTTACAGGGGGTTTGGTGTTGTTTCTGACGCTCGAGGGGATCGTTAGGTTTGGGATCCAGGTTGTCAGAAGCAATTGGGGTTAAGGTTTAGGAATAGGTTTGTCGAAAGGTTCGAGAATGACAGGCTTCATAGGTGTTTGTTGTCAGTGGCCTCAACAGTTTTAAGTTGAACCCTTGGAGCCTAGACTCTATCACCGTGTTCCAGGGTTGCGCACAACTTTTCATGGCTTCCGCCCAGGCGAATTGCTTTGTTGGTTTTAGCTGCCAGAACCGATCAACCTCCGTAGACATTTGCAGAGCTGAATGCACCTCTATAAAGATTTCAGCTTTCCACTCCTTGACCGGGATGTCTTTGGCCACTTCCTGCACTGAGGTTCGTGTTTGCCCCTGGCCAAAATCTGCGGATGGTCGTGAGCAATTTTCCCGAAGTTGGGCCAAAGAAGTGTGAAGCCTGCAGATGTGCGCCTGACCTGAAAGCGTGAGATTTACCATCAGGATGCTTGTAGAACCCTAAATCCCTCGACTGGGCCCTGCCCTTTTCGCATTGTGAGCGCAGTATGCAACAGTCCGCAGAGGTATGAACTCTCAGCAAAGGGCCTACACCCAAACCGGGGAATGCGGAAGACCGCGCCAAGCGTCGTCACTGCAAGCACTTAAAGAATTAGGCTTGAGGGCTTAAGCCCATATAAGTCCCCTGGTGCTATCACGCCAGCCGGAAGTATGGCTGATACGGCGTGCACGTAAGGGGTAAATTCCCATGGCCCAACATCTAGCGCTACTAGGTCAGGCACACACGCTCGTCGGGCCAAGCCAGACGACGCCAAGTAGCAGCAGAGACCATTTTCTGGACCCTCTCTCGGTGTTGTAGCGCAGAGACTGGCTTTTTCAGATAAATTTTCTGCAAGTCCCAGGTGCTCCATGAAGCTTAACTATCCATCTAGTTTTTAGAGTGATTAATCAGGGTCCTGGAGTTAGTTAGGGTTTATGATTGAGGGCCGCTCCGCAGCGTAAAGGCTTGATAGGGGTTGCTGTCCTGCCAGTCGTCTCACTGGGCTGGTCTTATGTTCGTAGTGGGGTTGCATCGTGATCTGTTTTCACATACTGTCAGGGTGTGTCTGCATAGGAATTCTTTGAAAAGCTCGTGATACCGAAGGCTGTTTATCAACAAGGTGTCTGCATTGATGTGAACGTTAACCTGGACCAGGGAGTTTGAGAGAAGTGGAGACCCGCATCTAGAACTCTCCAATAGACTTTTCCTAACGGACCCCGAGATAAGGCACCTTCAGTTTCTGAACCCGACCCCTGATGCTTCCCCTTGGTCTCCGGGGGATATGCATAGACCCTCCAAAATCCCTTAATTAAGGAATATACCTTAATTTATATTGAGGATCCCACTATAATTGAAGGGATATTCCTTAATTAAGGGATTTTGGAAGGTCTGGGTGCATAGCATCTGAGCCAAGTATAGGGTAGACCGCAGGTACGCCCAAGCCATCTCGGGTTCTACGAGAGGGTCCAAACATCTTGACCTGCAAAAAGACGGGGAAGAGAGCTGAGCAGCACTGGAACCACTTGTGTAAGGCTTTGAGACATTGGGTTTCGTGGATTTTTGCTCCATATAGACTTGAACCTGTACATGTGGGACAGTGAGTTTCTGGGGGCGAGCGACTACGGACTTGGCTTTTGCCAGTGTGCAGGTTTCTGGACATGCAGCTGTCACAACTTCTGCTTTTTGCGCCGTCTAGCATCCGCTCAGGTAGCGAGTCAGGACATGCACAGGACATCATGAACAGCTCTGCGACTACGCATCGAAGACAAACTGCAGCAAACCTCCATGAAGGAGGCCCCATCGTCCCGACCGGACATTCGTTGTCATGAATCCTGTAAACAGCCTAGATCCATGCATCTGTATCCCGCCATACTTGCGGTAACGCAGTTGCATTGGGCCTCGGGCTTAGGGGGCTCAAGGTAGGATCCAACAGTAGGCAACTACCAGTCAGGCAATTTCTCGGCTCAGCAGCAGACATCAGTGGCTTCGGAAGTTCAGTACTCAAGCCAGCATGACACGCCGAAGTGCATGGCTGAGCCTGCTGAGCCTGCCGTCAACTGCCTGTTGCGGCCGGCAGAAACAATCTATACATGCCAACCCTCCCTCCCAATAAAGGATCAGACGCACGAAGACCGGATGAGCCCTGGTTTTTGGTAAGCAGAGCAAGTGTTCTGCTGGCTCTCTTCCTTGCACTTAAAGGATCATGGGACTTAGTAACTAGGGTTATAATTAAGGTAACTGTACTTATAACTAGTTATAACCCCACTTAGGGCACTTATAACCCTACTTACTAAGTCCCACGATCCTCCAAGCAATCGCACTCTCTTATCTTGCTGCTCGTGCAAGCAAAGACGTCCGGAGCAGACCGAGGCCCTGAAAAGCTTTGGTTTTGCCAACCCCTCAGAGGCCCCGTTTACATCTTTCAGTGGGTATAGCCAGTAGGGTTTTCATTTATATGATCTTATAGGGTCATATTATGGGTAAGGTTTCTCTATAGGATTTTATAGGGGTATTTAATGTAGGGTTCTTAATGGGCGTCTGGGGAGTAATCGCAGGAAGCTGAGCACTGTGAGCGCTCAAAAAGATGCATCGAGGCCTTGGTTTTTCAAGATCAGCAGCAAACCCGCAGCTCCAGCTACCTACTGCTTGTTTCAGGAGCTCTACTCTGATGTACTGGGCTTGGGCTAGAGCCGAAGCCTGATGCAGCGAGCGAAGCTAGAGGCTATACTGTAAGCACAGCCTGCCCGGGAAAACAGCGAAGAATCGGGCCTCGGCTGTCTAGGGCTCAGTGCCTTAAATGCCATCTGGAGCACACTTGCGTCAATGTGGAAGTCCCCAGTAGCCCTGCCACCCCAAGCCGGCTTAACGGGAATCCGACTTTGCGGACTACGACTGCCGACTAGAACGTCCAGACCCAAGAAGACCCAACAGGTTGCGCTGCAGACATGCTGCTCCCTTCCTTACAACCCTTCCTGCGGAACACTCCATATAGACGGAGGAACACCAAACCCTCTTGTAAACTGGAGCCCCGCAGGTGAAGGTGGGTTCCGAAGCAGGCGTCAAATTTGTGAAGTATGCCGAAAGCTAAGCTTGATCTGGTGGCCGCCAGCTATCAGTTGAGGGGATCATCGGGTGTTCCACACAGCGCTTTGGGGAGATGGGTTTGCGCGAGGGATCATGGTGTGCTCCATGAATAAAGGGCTTCGGGATTGAGTATTTAGTGTGGTCTTGTGGTCACTGTCCCCTTCGGCTGCTGTACATTTGAGGCGTAGCCGTTGGCTTTCGACTCGAAGCAGCCTACCAGGAAAACCCTGAACTGCTACCTGTGAATTCTACTTGCGCCTGTAAATATTCCGATTACTTCAGGGATTTTACCCTGTAGTGAAGGGGCCATTTCCGACCATTGTGCAGGGCCTGGGGCTACGTGCAAGATCATGCGATCCAACATAACAGGGTTTCTCATTAAGCTTTCCTTGTCTATGTCCCCAATCATAGTAGTGTTCGGTGATTACAGGTACTCCAGGACCCCCTGACCCCAAAGACCCAAAACTCTGAAAGATCCCATAGGAAAGCTTTAAAAGAACGTCAACGGCACCGTGCCTCAGAACCGCTTATATACTTATAGGACATGGAAGACCCTAAGATAGACCCTCCAAGTCATGACTGGTGAGATTGAATGTTCAGGGCTCCAGGATGTAGGGTTAGCATAGAGGATCGACTAAGTCGCATTTCCTGTACGGCTTCCTATGACCAGCACAGTATAATCTAGCCAATTTCCTGTTCCAGCTTTCAAAGGTCCCTATATTAGAACGTTCAGGGACAGGTCTATGGTTCTGTGATCTCTTTGCTGTGCGAGATGGTGAAACTACAGGTTCTCAGAGGATTTAAAGCAGGATCATAGCAGGGTTCTACAAAGCTCTTCAGGGGGAGAGGGTCCAAATGTCCAGTTCAACTCCGCGAAATCATGAATAACGAGCCTGAGACATCATGCCATAGACTTGAACCCCCAACCCTACAGTTAAAGTGTCCCTATAATCTTGAAACCACTCAAAGGGCAAGGGAAATTCGTCACAAACCGAGAAATTTCCATGCGGGTTCTATAAGCACCACTAAGCTTAGACAACCGAAACATGCCAAAATCTCTAAAAGCCCTTCCCTGCGATTCCAAATTTTTAACATCCTAAGACCAAAGCCCCGAAAAAGTCTCAGGTTCCGCCAGACCACGTGTCTGCGACAGTACGAAAGCCATGTTCGGTTGAGGCTGGGACCCGGCATAGCATGTCAGGTAATATGCAGGGCGTTTAAGGAGAACAAGCTCAATCACCCAGCGCACCATTATTCCTATATAGGAACCTCGTGTTTAAGGTTTCCTTTCTGTTTGTTGCGTCGTGACATTCGCACATGGTAGCTCCATACGATTTTTAACGGGTTCTTCATTGCATAAGTGTAGATCGGACACGAACATCTCAACAGCCCCAGCCCTCCGACAACTGTGCAGTTTCACCCGAGCGAGCACAACCCCAGGCCGCGACACCCTGGACTACTACTCGAGGTGGCAAATAAAGATGCAAGATACGAAAGTGCTATGAAACTATGTAAATCTATCTATCTATATATCTATCTATACGCATATATATATATATATATATATATATATATACATACATACATACATATATATATATATATATATATATATTCATATTAATATTGTATTCCCACTGCCTGTCTCTATCTATCTGTTTGTCTATCTATGCATCTATCTACCTACCTAGCTATCTACCTGTCTATAGATAGATAGATAGATAGGTAGGTAGGTAGGTAGGTAGATAGAGAGAGAAAGAGAGCTTTTCAAGCATTATGTATTCATGTGCTTACTCATGTTTATCATGCGTTCGTGCGGTTATTAGCATGTGCACTTATCCTTTAAACATATTTAATTACATATGTATTACATCCTGCACTCCCTCTTTGCCTGTATGTATAAATGTGTATCTACATATCTGTATACGCAAAATACGTACACACGTGCCTGCATACATGCGTACTACTGTATACTACCGTCGGTAGAATTAAGACCCCAGCACCTGGGAGGGCGAAGCGCTTGACCCCTCCATCAACGAGTGGTACCTTTTCCATGGTGCGGGTCCCAGCTGAAATCTGAGAGTTCTCTCAATGCCTCAACCCGAAGAGCCCTAGACTCTCAAAGCCTGACTTGTGAACCTCATATACCGAAGTATTCCTAGTGCTGTGGTTCCGACAGCTCGTGATCCGAACGAAATCTCTTTTTGTTATGGTTCCGTTTTCGTAGAAGCAAACCTCAGTCTGAAAGTTCAAGATATTACATCTTAGTCCTGTGGGTATTGGGGCTGTGCGGATAAGACGGGACGAAGGGACTCCATTAGAATCCCAGAGACTCTATGAGTAAAACCGTTTGATGATGTTTCAGTTGCATCATGCTGAAGATCCCTTCAGAATGTGTGGTCGGCCGTCAGTGGTGTATTGTCCCTAAACCTTAAAAAACCACGAAAACCTAAACCGTTACCCTACATCATCAGTGAATCGATTTTTGGAGCCTCTGGGATGGTTTGTGTCATCCCTGCCGACAGCGCCGGCCAAAGCATGGAGAGTGGCGTTGGCCTTGGTCTACAAGGAGTGCTTCGACTGTGGCTCCTAGGGGTTGAAAGGTTCAGGGGTGTAGGGTTTAGGGCTTGTCGCTCTGCTCTGAAGGGCTTTGATGGGCCGACAGCAGTTTCGGTCTTTCAGGGTCTGCTTGCGGAATAACCAGGCGCGACATGCAAGTCTGATGTAAAAAGGGCTTATGCGACCTCGTTCATTCAGCCTGTGCACCCAAGGGACCAACATTCTGAGAACCAAAGGCTTTCAATCCTGAAGAACGCAACATGGAAGCCGCAACACCTGTTTCTACAGGAATTAAAAACCCTAAACCTAGCAACCTGACCTCATGAAGCCGTGCCTGCGAGAGCGAGTGTGCGAGTCGAAACCCTATCGGTTGTCGAGTAGGGTAGGCTTGTCAAATTGGGGCGAGGCTCTGTGCTTGCACATGCTTACGCTGGCCCCAGTATGACTGCCTACTAGATAGGTACACACCCTATCTAGGGATTTGCCGGTTGTTTGCAGACCTCGCCGAGCGTGATCGTCAAGACCCTGGAAGTCACACAACCCGAAATCCCACCGGCGATGATTACCTAAACCCTTTAAAGCCCATCCTACAAGAACTCAACCCTAAAGCATCCCAGCCTAACACACGGAAGCTCCCTTAAAGCCCCAGCCCCTCAAGCCTCAAATCCTATAAGCCCGAAGCCCTTGTAAGCTTGAAATCCGACGAACATCCACCCGGATAGACCCCTTCCAAAACCCTACATAGCAGCCGCACAGGAAGCCTTATAAATATCGATCCCGCAAACAATAAGTAGTAGCCTTCTTATATCGATCCCCTAATTATGTAAATAGTAGCCCTTACCTAAACCCTAAACCCTCCAACTGCTCAGCCCCAAATGGAGTCAACTGGAGCCCAAGGCTCGCGGCCCGAAGCTTTGGCGAACATCCTGGCCGTGGACCCAATAGGTTTTTCTTTGAAGCTCGTGTGCAGGGTCCCCGTTTTTTTTTCCTAGGTCTGGTCCGGTCTGGGGGGCCTTGCTAGGTCTGGTCCCTGGTCCCCTGGTCCTTTAGTCCTCTGGTCCCCTGGTCTCTGGTTCCCTGGTCCCCTGGTCTCTCCTGGTCCTGTACCCCTAAACCCTCAAACCTGCAAGAACGCGTAGCCTTGATGACTTCCGTTTACGATCTCTAGTAGCCAACAGTACCACGTTCCGAAACTTTCCTGCAGGTTTGTGAAGCAGCCAGCCCATCTAGACGGAAGGGTCCAAAGAACCAAATACGTAGGATGGAAGCCGAAAGTTGGAACACGTCCACAGGAGCATATTGGCTCAAACCACAGGTTCCAACTTTAATCAGGGAGGCTAAAGCATGGTCAGAAACCCGCCAAAAAGGAAAGTTGGAACCTGGCGTTCGACCCCAAAGCAACAACAACAGCAGCAACAACATCAACAACAACAACAGCAACAACAAGAACAACAACAACCCAACGACAACAACGACAACAACAAGAACAACAACAACAACAACAACAACAACAACAACAACAACAATAGCAGCAGCAGCAGCAACAACAACAACAACAACACGTCTGTCTGACAACAAGAACAACAACAACAACAGCAACAGCCACAACCACAACCACCACGACAACCACAACAACAACAACAACAACAAGAACACCAGCAACAGCAACAACAACAACAACAAGAAGAACAACTACCACGACGGCAACGACGAGGACGAGGACGACGACGACAACGACGATGACGAGGATGTCGACAACGACACCAAAAACAACGACACAATACAGAAGATTTGAAATTGTAATCCCACAATATTCACACGCGAAACACGACCCTGCAAATTGTAGTGCTCCAATAGCTTCATGCAAGACACAAGCAAAACCAGACCCTGCGAATGCTAGTTCCCCACTAGTTTGATGGAAAACACAGACAATAAGAGACTCTGCAAATTGTAGTTCCCCAATAGCTTGATGCAAAACACAAACAAAGCCGACCCCACAAATTGTAGTTCCCCATTAGCTTGATGCAAAACACAAGCAGAAGAACACACCGCAAATTGTAGTTCCCTAATAGCTTCATGCAAAACACAAGCAGAAGAACACACCGCAAATTGTAGTTCCCAAATAGCTTGAAGCAGAACACAAGCAGAAGAAGACCCTGCGAATTGTAGTTCCCCAATAGCTTGATGCAAAACACAAGCAACACCGATCCCTGCAAATGCGAACTCCCCAATAGCTTTATGCAAAACACAAAGAAAACCGAACCCTGCAACTTGTGGTTCCCCAACAGCTTGATGCTAAACACAAGCAAAATCAGACTCCGCAAGTTGTAGTGCTCCAATAGCTTCATGCAAGACACAAGCAAAACCAGACCCTGCGAATGCTAGTTCCCCACTAGTTTGATGGAAAACACAGACAATAAGAGACTCTGCAAATTGTAGTTCCCCAATAGCTTGATGCAAAACACAAGCAGAAGAACACACCGCAAATTGTAGTTCCCGCCCTAATAGCTTCATGCAAAACACAAGCAGAAGAACACACCGCAAATTGTAGTTCCCTAATAGCTTGAAGCAGAACACAAGCAGAAGAAGACCCTGCGAATTGTAGTTCCCCAATAGCTTGATGCAAAACACAAGCAACACCGATCCCTGCAAATGCGAACTCCCCAATAGCTTTATGCAAAACACAAAGAAAACCGAACCCTGCAACTTGTGGTTCCCCAACAGCTTGATGCTAAACACAAGCAAAATCAGACTCCGCAAGTTGTAGTGCTCCAATAGCTTCATGCAAGACACAAGCAAAACCAGACCCTGCGAATGCTAGTTCCCCACTAGTTTGATGGAAAACACAAACAATAAAAGACTCTGCAAATTGTAGTTCCCTAATAGCTTGATGCAAAACACAAACAAAGCCGACCCCGCAAATTGTAGTTCCCCATTAGCTTGATGCAAAACACAAGCAGAAGACCACACCGCAAACTGTAGTTCCCTAATAGCTTCATGCAAAACACAAGCAGAAGAACACACCGCAAATTGTAGTTCCCTAATAGCTTGAAGCAGAACACAAGCAGAAGAAGACCCTGCGAATTGTAGTTCCCCAATAGCTTGATGCAAAACACAAGCAACACCGATCCCTGCAAATGCGAACTCCCCAATAGCTTCATGCAAAACACAAAGAAAACCGAACCCTGCAACTTGTGGTTCCCCAACAGCTTGATGCTAAACACAAGCAAAATCAGACTCCGCAAGTTGTAGTTCCCCAATAGCTTCATGCAAAACAGAAGCAAAACCAGAGCCGTCAAATTCTAGTTCCCCAATAGCTTGATGCAAAATAGAAGCAAAGACTGCAGTTGCCGCTGTTTGCAACCACAACCAGTGGACCAGACTTAGGAAAGCAAGCCGGGGCGGACCAGACCTAGGAAAAAAAACCGTTCCGCCCTCGTGTGCATATGTATGTATGTATGTGTATATATATATTTACACATACAAAGATGCACCGTCTGCAAATATCTATCTATCTGTATATAATGTATGATAATTATGTTGTGCGTGCGCGCTTGTTCTATGTTTGCTGCGCGTTAATGTCCGTCAGGAGGTTTTACGGTATGGCGTTTTCGGGTTGGGTGTTCGGGGGCCTAGTGTTGAGGTCTGTAAGGCTTTGTAAGGGGTCAAGGGTTAAGCAGTTTTGAACATCTAATTACAGGGTTGCAATGTGGTTTCATAGGGGTCGGTCTTTATGGGGTGTTTGATGGGGGGTTGTGTGGGCTGTTGCGAGGTGTTAAAGGCTACAGGCGTTTTTGGTCTTTTGTCGTCCGGTGTTGGGTGTCCTTGGCTGGTATTCGAGACTGATCTTGAGCAAGCAGTAATTGTTTTCGCAGCATGTGCCTAAGAAGGAAAAGAAGCTGGAGTTGTCAAAATGCGGCTGCTAGTCAGGACATGTTGCTGACGGACACAATCCTGCAGTGAACTCAACAGGGCTGAACCATAGGATTTATTTGGTTATATTCCCTGACATGTCTACCCTGAGTATCAAGACATCCCAAAAGGCCCACAACGAGGTATTGCAGGACTTTGTTCACCAAACACTACCACCTGAACTGGGCCAGGCCGCAGCAGTATGTGGAATCCGAGAAGAAGTCTCTGTTTGGCACAGGTTTTAGGATGTGAAAGCCGCCACTGCATATACAAAACTCAAGAGTTTGCGCCCTGAAGAAAGCCCAAAGGTCTCCAACTTCCGCCTCACGCTGGCTGGCTCCGGCGCGACATGGAAGGAAGGGCGAGAATGCCGCCAAACCTGAAAGGGCTTTAGAATATCGGTTCAGCGTCTCAGGGCTTAGGTTTCAGCTGTAGGGTATCCTGAAGCATCCTAAACCTCAAACCTCATAACGCAAACACCAAAATCTTGGCTTGGGTTCATGTTGGAGGCCCTTTTCGGCTGTGTGTTCGTCCATGATTCCTGTACGCATAGCTACGAAAGTTGAGCCTCATAGTGGGGTCGGCATACATAGGGTTTAGGGCTCTGAGGGTTTAGGATTGTAGAGTTTAGGTTTTAGGATGTGAATTTGTTGAGGGTTGAGGTTTTAATTATGGCTTGCGGCTTAGGGGTTTAAAGAATGCGCCGTGATTGAATTCAGCACGAACCCTACGAGCCGGGCAGGATGCCGGCAAAGCCTCGGGAACGCCGCTGTACGGCTTCGGCATCTACTTCGCGGAGCGCATCACCAAGGATCCGATTCGGCGCTGAGATCTGGAGCTTCTAGGGCTTTAGTCTGTTATTCATAGGGTTTTCGATGGTTTGCTGAAGTTGGGATTGTGTAGGGTATTGCTCAAATTCTAAAGGGTCGACTGGCGGCATTTGTAGGGTATATGTACATACCTAAGCCCTACAAGGGGCTTTGATTCGGGTACGTTACTGTATATAAGCTTGAGCTGTAGTGGAGGGGTTGGAAACCGGAACCCCGAAGACCGGAGCGGTTCGAACCAGGTCTGGTCCATCATTGCATAGCCTACACACTATACGTAGACCCACCCCCATCGGGTGTAGAATCAGGTCTTGGGCGTAGCTCCCGCAATACGAATGGAGCCGCTGAAGGCTCTATACCCGCATTACTGCGAGAGGTCTAGAGTCCCTCCATGTCGTGCAAAACCCTGCGCCCCGTTGACAGTGCCAAGGCACATGTCTCCTGGAGCTCGTCCGCTCGAATTCCTCGAAACGAAAACACCCTGATTTCGCGTTTCCCGAAACGCCCAACCTCCAACCGTAGCCACCCCCAGACCTTACAAAATCCCTTAATTAAGGAATATACCTTAAATTGTATTGAGGATCCTACTATAATTTAAGGGATATTCCTTTATTAAGGGATTTTGGAAGGTCTGGGCCCCTAAGAGCGAAGCCCTATACACCCTGACAGGCCGACGAATACGCCGCGCAAGTTAAGGACGGAGGTCCTCTGCCAGTGTCTCCAGGCAGGGCTCGTCAGCTTGGTTGCATCTTGCGTAGGGGTTTCAGGGTTTATGCTTAGCTTTGCTAGACAGCTATTCATAAGATCAAGGCTTCAGACTAGTTTTTACGGTCTGAGCAGTCATTTCGGCTTTAGAGTCGCTGTCTACGGGTAAGGCTAAACATCCCAAGAACCGTGCTCGAATTATTAAAGCACCTACATCGCAAGCTATTTCTGAACAGGCTTTGTGGACTTGGGTTTGGGAATACGGGTATGCTTTGATGGCTTCAAGAATGACCGTATTAAGATATTTAAGGGCCTTAAATGATTGTTTCGGTTGATGGGTGTTAGAAAGATCGGAGTTGAGGCCATCGGGCAATAGCACTCGGTAAAGGGTGGGAGACAAGGACTGTTGGAAGAGAAGCTTAAGATGTTTTGGTCTCAGTTGGATTGTGGACAAGAGGCACCGTTGGGTGTTCTTGGGGACCAAGTGGTGAAGGATGAAGAGGCTGTTTCTGCAGAGCACGATCAGGTAAATCTTGCCCGAGCCTGAAACCCAAACCCACATCCGTAACCGGACTAGGCTTGGGGAATAGAGCATAGCATGCGTAGCTTTGAGCCCTTCTGTCTATGCAAACGTGGGTTGCTCTTCGGATCTACTCCACGAACGCCGGCTACTACCAGAAATGAGCACTGGGCCACCGTCGTTGTCAAAGGTTCACTGCAGAATACTGCAGACGCTACAACTGTCCTCTTTGTAGCTTGCCATGTTGAGAAACTCGCATTGGACACTTCCCAGCACAAGGCTTCGGCCGTGCAAGCCGTTTTCGAAGACATTGATACCTTCATCACTGTTGAACACTGTTGGACGTTAAAGCCCAACACCAGTCAACCGATGAGGACGCCTGAGGAAGACACCATCACTAGTCCTGCAGGCCCTTGCGTCATCTCCGCAGAACTAGCGCCAGCCCTAAGCGGCCCTTTGATGTGCAGATGGGCGGGAGTTGTTCTGTGTGCTCCTGTCCGGGCTCCGAGACGTTTGTTGTCGGAAGCTTTGGTAATTTGCAAGGCTACATGTCCGGACTTCACAGGGTTTCTTGTTTAACGAGTTCACTGATGACCTTTATGTGGTGTCGAGAACAATGTTGTGTGCTTGTAGTTCGTGGGCCCCAGTGGCGGCAAGACTTCGGGTGCGCACGGGTTTTAGGGTAAAGGTCTTTGGGAGTCTCGGCTGGTTTTGTGAGCAACCAACGAAATTGGCATGCGCTTTCAACCGCAGAGTATCCCTGGTTTCCCTCTCAGCGTACCGTGATTTCAAGCCTGGAATGGCTGGGCAACATCCCGTAAACCCCCTAAAAGCAAACCTAATACATGTTAGAGCTCTCCGACAACAAACTCCAGAAGCCTATGTAAACCACTTCCGAAGCCCTCCCCTCTGCTAAACTTACTTCAACACGAGGTATTGCTTCAGAAGATCATGCATTGTCCTAGCCACTGCTTCTGAAGCCCTGAACTCTATAAGCCCTAAACCCACAGAATAGAACCCCTATGTATGAAACCAGGAACAACGGCCCGCTGGATCCTTCCAAGGGAGGCCCCGAGCTCCCAGGTGTCGCGTTGTGGGTGGCCGCACGAATCTCGTCACTACCAACGAGATCGAAAGAGAGAAGCTGAGGCACTGGGGTTTCGGAGGGTCCACAGCGGCTTTAGGGGATGTTTGGGGGTCCTAAAGAGAGCCGTGGTTATGGGGTGTTGTGGGGCATGAGTAGTTTATGTAGAGGTCGAGGGAGAAAAGTTGATGCAGCGCCGAGTCTTATCGAAGGTTTAGAGGGCCTGCCGGGAATATGCGGGGATGGAAAGACGGAAGCTGAGGCACCAAGGTTGGATTAGGGCCAGGATTTTACAAGGGTCATCATGACCACTGATGTGGAAGTACAATGGTTTAACTTATTCCCGACAGTAGATCTTTGTGGAGGCCAAGTTGTTGCCAGTTCTCAGCGGTGGGGGCCTGGACCTAAAGCATGAACTTCAAGCTCAAAAGACCAAATTCGCGCTCAGCCTTGTAAACGAGCTTACGGCTTACGGTTTAGGCGAGCCGAAACCCTACAGCAATTTAAGACAGTATGGGGCCCTGGATGGCACAGCTCAAAAAACCTTGAACGTGGGTCTTGTAAGCTGGTACGGGGCGGCGGTCTTGGATTACGGGTGCTGTTGCAAGCAGGTTAGAGCTAGCAAGCTCCGAGCCTTAATCCTCGCGCACCCGAATCACTCAGACCCTGAACCCGAAACACTCCAGCTAGTGCCGTGTGTTTTTTCCATGTAAAATAGGGGACCGAGAAAAGGGCTCAGCGGGGTCACCTTTCGGCAGACCGCAAGAGACCTGCGAACAATGCATGGGCCGAACAATCCATGCCACAAGGTGCAGAACTGTTTTTGCAGTGTTTCAATTAAGCTTCGGAGAGCACCTCGAAGCTCCTGCTTTCCTGCGAAATTTGGCCAGGAGTGACGTGTTCGATGGCCCCTACCACTCCGTGCCATCCTTAGCGAAGAGGTGTTCGGGTTCAGGTTTGGCGTCCCCTCTGTCCAGGAGTGGTTCGTATTCACGGTCGGCAGGTTTACATGTCCGGGGTTTCACGAGACCCTAAAACCTAAGCCTGAAGATCCGAACTCTCCGAGCCCACGGAGACTGAACTACTAAGCCCTAGACTAGATGCCCCGAGGCCCTAGAAGCCTCAGAAGCCTAAGCCCTGAGTCTGCTGGTTTCGGGCATTTCGAGCTGAAAGCCTACCCTTGGGCATGATTCGGGATAGAAGCCGTGGCTTTCGGCTTGGTATGGCAAGCCCTAAGCTCGGTTTTTGGGGTTCGACGAATGGGCAGATGGAGATTCCAGTCGGCTCTCTGCAGGGTGCGCGAAGCAAGGCAACTGCAACACCTATCTCAACATGGAGCCACGGAGGGGATGGAGCCTTCAGGCAGGCGAGAGTCATTCAACATGCGAAGCCCTAACGACTTGGATCGCCAGGCACGAAAGGAAGAGCTGGAAGGAAGATTGCTCCAACATGCGAAGTACACAGCATATGTTGCCTACAACTAGAGTTCAGATACTGGTTGTCCAAACGAACCTTGAAGCACACAAAAGGTACAACCTTAAACATAACTCTCCATAAACGGGGGGTTCCCCCCACAGGAAGAACTAGTTTTAAGAAAGTCGCAAGTAGGGTTCCCTGGCCTTCGTAAGGAGCAACCCCTCTCTCTGCAATCTGACTACTTTTTTTGCTCGGGGCAGAACTAGGGTGCGCACTCCACTGCTAAGCTCCGCACCCTACCTTCAACCCTGAGACCCCTCATCCGCTGAATCTAGGTTCCTATAACCCCCAGACCAAGAATCAGGACTCCGAGTCCCTAAACCCCAAACTCGATGAATTCTGAACTTCTAAACTTTGAGACTCCAAATATGGGAGTGCTGCGAGGTCTTCGGAGACCGTGTCAGCACCCTCGGCAAGCCGCCTCCGCCCAAGTTGGTATTGCTCAGGTTTATAAGGCTCTGACGGGGTTTGGGGGTTCGGGGTTTAGGCTGCAAAAAGGTTGTGAAGGGTTCATATAGGGGTTGAGAGTTCCCCTCCCAAATAAGGCCCAAGATTCTCCCAAAGCGTTGACGATTACTTCACTCAAGTGCTTCCGGAATCAGTCGGAGAATTACATTCTACCCTACACCATGAACCCCAAACTGTGAGGGTGTGGTGCCGGGGTGGGGCATAGGAATTTTGGGGCTTAGGCGTAATTTGTTTTCTGCAGAGGCCATTGGCAGGGCTTAAAATGGGATATGGGTTGAGTGTAGGTGCGGCTTAGGTTTGTTTTAGGTTTAAAGGCCCTAAACCCTAAACCCTCAAGTCCCTAAACCCTAAACCCTAAGGGATTAAGGCTTCGGCTCATGGGTTAGGTGGCTTAATTAGAGCGGACAGTTTCTACCACGGTGCACATTCGCATGTCCGTGTGTCGTTATGACATATACGCCCCAATAGACCCGGAGCAGTGCCAGGGCTAACAGCAAGGCGCTGCCGGGAGAAGAGGGCCAGAAACGCTGCCAATCAGCAGGCAGGGTGAGGCTTGCCCGTAGGAGCACGACTCTGTGGTGGCTCGAATACAGGCAGGAGAACCGAGCCGATGGGCTTTGCCGCGCTTGTGGGCTGCTTTGAAGTCAAGGCTGCCCTGGCGGCCCCAAGGTCAGGCCCAGGCTTGCTCCTTTGGGCAAGGGCCGCATCAAGAGCATCCAGCCAGAGTGAGCGAACTGACGTGGAGAATGAGCTGCCAAGCTACAGCGAGGCAGTCCATCGCCTTGAGCGATTGGGTTTCAAGCTCTATAAGAAGCCACAAGGGCCCCAAGCCTTAAACGTGGAGTTTCACCCTGGAAGAGGGAATTCCTGAGCTCCGATGCTCCGATGCAACCTAAAGAGCCCAATACCCATTGACTCGGTATATCCCTAAAACAAGAACAGTGCTATATGATATGTGTGTGTATATATACAACATACACATGTAGTTACCATTCATGTTTAAGTATATAGGGTTTGTGGGTTACGCCGCTTAGGGTTTGCATTGGGAGCCAAATTGCATAAGACTTCGCGAGTGTATATGATCACGAAGCGGAAATTGGGCCGTCTGGGAAGAGACGAAAGCTTTCTGCCAGTTCACAACTACTCCAACATGTAACAAATTGAGAACCCGGTGGTCTGTTTGAAGGTCCCATGCCGGAAACTATATCGCCAACTAAAGCACGGCGCGCTAATGCATGTTACAGGAGGGGTACCTTTGATTCCCCCCCCCAAAGGAGCACTGCAATTAAGAACCCATGGCACAGTTCATAGGTCTTACAAGGCCCCAAGGCCCAAACCCCGAAACCCCAATACAAAAAAACCATATTGTGTTACTCTTAAAGTAACCTGTAGTAAACTTGCAAGATCACTATAGGAAAACCCTATAGATGCCTTTAAGGAACCCTATAGATCCCTCTAAGGAACCCTATAGATCCCTTTAAGGACCCCGGAACCCCAGCATGAACAGAAGGTAGGGGCCTCCTGTCGCCATAGCTCTTAGGTACAAGGAGGTGGTGGTCTACGACAAGGACCGTGCCGAAAACCTGTGAGGTTTAAGTGCAGGGTTTCGGGTGTTTAGAACCGGCCCAGTTCAAGGTTAAGTGCTGGGGGTTCTCAGGACAGTTTTGGGTTTTAGAGTGGTTGGTTTAATTGGTATTGTAGCTATTTCTGGCTCAGAGCTGGGGTTTGAAGTTCATCGCAAGGTACTTCAGTGTGGTTGGAGATGCTGTGAGCATCGAAAGTTCGACTTCGTTGCCTTCTGATGCCACTTACTTAGTCCCGGATCCTGAAAAGTACTGCCGCAAAGCCAACTCCAATGACCTTGTGTCTTTGTATGCCCCTTTCCGTAAGGCCACTAGAGCTTGTGAGGGTGTACGAGCTTCGTTTGGAGCTCCATTTTTTCAGCACCGCATACTAGTTGGTATCCCGAGAGTTGTTGTTTTTGTAATGGCTACAGTCGGCTACAGTCGTCCTGCACTGCATTTTGGATGATCCTCTTATACCTCCAGCCTCACCTCCTCACTTATGGCAGCTTTAGGGCCTATAGTCTTTGCAGGCTCCTGCTTGAAGCCCGAACTGTTGCTGAACCCCTATGTAAACCCTAAACGGCTCTGAACCTGTTGAGTATCATGTGCAGCAGGACCAAGTCTTCCCCGAGTACCTTCTCGTGTACTCGCGCAGCTACGGCTGAACTTTGTCTGTGTGAAGAGTGGGCGGAGCAAAGAACCATCCGCCCGCCCGTAAACATGGCTCGAGCTGCGATATTCCAGAAGCCTACATTCAGGATTGAAAGCAACACCTGCGATGAGCTCTCCACCAGCACGTGCACTATAACTGTAGCTTGCCCCAACCCCCAAGCCCCTGTCCATGACGCAGTGACCGAAACTGTATGGCTGAGCAGCTCTTGCGACGCTCCCATGTGCTCCACGCTTACAAGTCTATCTCAAGCAAGAGAGTTCTGGATCACACGTGGAGTCATCCGAGTCCAGTCAGATCAGGTTGACGTCGGGGCACAAACGACAGTACTACAGAGCAAACCTGAATGTGATGGCCCACAGACATGGTATCCGTAATTATGAACACCATCCACAAGTCCCCCGAAAGTCCTACGAAGCCGCGTAAACATTTGTTGTTTTCTGTTTGGATCCTTTTCTGTGCAGTGGAGCCTTGTGGTTCTAACTGGGTCGATTCGGGAACGCTTGGGATTTTCAGGGTTTCTGGTATAGACGGTACAAAGGGGCTTTCCTGCTACATTGAAAGAGAATTTCCACATGTTTCGTTGTGCCTGAAGGTGTTCCGAGGTTTAAAACCCAGCAAATCCTGAAGGTGATTGAGGCCGAAGGAATCAGCGCTCGAGTAGAGATTGGCGTGGCTGTCAGCCGTGTCGCCCGTTTCCGACCCATGTGGGCAGCTTTCCCGAGCATGGATGCTTCTTCGATAAACGATAAGCCATGAGCGGCCCCTTGTGCAGTTCTCACTCTTCAGCAGGATTCCAAAGGCTGACGAAGCGTCCACGTTCACGTGAGCCCAAATGGAAGGACAGGTGATGCCGAGGGTGTTCCACGAGCAAATGCGGCTGTGTGGGGTGGTTTAGTGTGTAAGAATGTTGTGCTAGCCTTCTGAGTTTGTGTTCATGAGCACAAGGTTGAGAACCCTTACCGCACCTCCCCAAACCCAAACCCAAGCCCCCACTCGACCCTAACAGTCTCTAAGCTCTAAACCCTCGGCCCAACCCACAACTTTCAGGTTGTTTTGCTAAAGTTCCCCTAGGTTTAACCAGTTTTATATTCAGCATACTTTGAGTCATGCTCTCGACCTCGTCAACTACAGACTGACTCCACCGACGCAGGGCAGAGTGTTGCAAGGGGCTTTTCCTTGGTTTCACCGATTAATAGGAATAACGATAAAGTAGATCTAGACAGTAGATTAGAAAGAATTAGCAATATCAGCAGTAGTCGTAACCATAGTAGTATTAATTATCAGTACTAGTCAGAAGGGTTTCCAAAGAACTGGAGACCCCGTAGCCCTCATCATGAAGGTGCGCGGCTGCTTGAAAGCAGAGCTGCAACCGTAAGCACGATAACGATATGGGTAGTTATCTAAACTGGGTTCCCTGCTGAGGCCCTCCCAAAATAGTACGGCACCCCTAACAGCAGGGACCGTAATGCAGAGAACTACCCATATCAGTAGTTCAAGCCCATGCTTAAAATACTGCAGATATCAGGCCGGCTTGAAACCTCAAATGTCTGCAGGAGCAGGGGGTGAAGGTTCAGGCTTGCGATGTCTTTTGGCTCCGGCGCATGGGGCTTAAGAGTCTCTAGACCACGATGAGATATGCCATAGTGATTCCTTTTTGGGGTTCATATGTAGCACCCTACAAGGTAGTCCCATACTCAAGCAGCAATAACTCTGTCAACCTCACCACCTCGATGACCCTATCAGCCCCGGAAGCACAAGCACAGAGCCTAATGACACCGAATAAAGCTTGACTCCCATTAGAGGGTTTACAGTACGTGGTACCCAAAGCAACATAAGCAAGCATCTAGACCGCTGTCTCCACTTACATCCCAGACAGAGACCCTGAACACCCCCTAAAACCATAGAGTCTTGGCCCAGACCATCCGGCCATGGCGCAGAAGCCGCCTGTGTCCTTGCCTCTCTTGCCTTTGTCGCTGCACCCGACACGGTCGACGGCGGTGTGGGCTGTCGGGCGTCCGATGGCTTCTTTAGAGCTTTGTTTACTGCGATTAGGGTTTCAGGGTTTACGAGGTCTTTGGGCTGGACAGGGCTCAGGGTGAATCAGGGTGAAGGGTTTCGGGTTTAGTACTAGCGACGGATCTCCACATGAGTTCACAAGCACCCCTTGACGGATCTCACGGCAGCCTGGTTCCACCGAGGCTTCCTCTTCGCTTACGACCTCCAGCTTGGCACCTGGCAGGTGCGACGTCGCGAGCTGCATGGCGAGGCAGAGCTGGTTTACTTGCCTTTGCCTAGTAGGGAACGGAGGAATGGGGTACAATTATAAGTACCATTACTACCATATTACTGCCATATTACTATCATTTTACTATCATACTACTACCATATAACTACTATTACTCCCATTCTTCCATTCCCTACTAACCGGTAAGCTTAGGGTGGATGCAGGCTTCAGAGCTTGAGCGGGATGTAGATTTCAGGGTGAGGGGGCATCGAAATCCCGCAGGGTCTACGTCGCGCGGTTGTCGCCGTCATTTTGAGAGCACAGAGGTTGCCAGACTTGCTCCATGATTTGTGATCTAAGTTCGCTTGGCCGAGTTTCAGAGGAGATCGACGGCAGAAAGTCAGGGCTCTGTCAAGGCATATCGGAAACATATGGAGACTGGCCGTGAAGTTTAATGCAGTCTGAAAGCAGGTTCGGGCCCTGGAAGCATCACCTGTGCCTTCTGGACACCAGAGTAGGTGACCCTAGCCCGAAACTTCATAAATCCTAAATCCCAAACCATGATAACCCCGGTGCCCCATCTCCCCTACAGCCGTGAACCTTTGAATCCTTCGTCTGGCAAGTCCGAGTTGCGAGAGCTTAAACCCAAATCCCATGCAGAACTTCAGGAGCCTTATCGGACCTGTCAAGAACCCTCATAGAAGCCACAAAGAAGGGGAACGCCATAAAGAACCCTGTAGAGAACCCTTGGCCCATGAAAGCCCTGTGCCGTGTGTGAGGCCATCCGAGCCCTGCATGCTTACACACTGGCTGCCGGGAAAACGGTCTGGCTATCTGCAGGCACGGCAAGGGCGGAATGTAGAAAGTTGGGTTTGCCCAAGAAAACCAGGCATTTTGGGGGTCCGAAATCCTAAACTGCGGTTGATGCTATACCTTAAGGATCCTAAACTATGGGAACATCGGTATATTCCTTAGTATGGGTAATGCAGGATTTATATCATCAACCGTATGAGCTGTCCCAATAGCCAGCTTGGGACTTTTTGCGCCGGCCGGGTTTGTTTTGGTCTTCTCCCGCCTTCCGAATGGGGTTGGAGGCTGATCTCTACATAGATAACTATACTATGGTACTCCAATGTACCCGAACACCACTATTCTAGCTAACACGGCCTCTGTTGTAGGAGGGCTTCAGGCGCTTTGAGTGCTTTAGGGTTTTGTGATCACAATCGGGACTGCGAGTTCTGCATCTACACAAGGCTTGTATGATGTATGGGGTGCCTTTCTGAACTTGACCTGAACCCTACATCTCACATGCCAGCCGAACCGCTTGTCTTTTGCAAGCTGCTTCGGGAGCCCCGATTATCAGCAACCGACATCCAAGTTTGAAGACCCTACGAAATCATACGAATTCCAGCCTAAAGACCACACATAACCTACCAAACTACACTAACAGACATAAAGAAGTTCACCCCAAATCCTCGAGACTCCCAGAAATCCTAAACCCTCCAAGCACTTGTGGCTGTCGTGTCTTAGGTCATCACTAACAGCCTATCTTCGCAAGTGAACAGACTTGACGAGAAAGTTAACGAAGCAACCCGAACCTACTTCTGCAGACCTTGCCAGGCTTGTCCGAGTGTGAGTTTCAAAAACACCCTCCAAACCTTAAGCCGGACTCCTAGAAACCCCCAGGGGACGACAAGATGGTGATGACCTGGACAGAGGAAGGGGGCGACTGGGAGCTCCAGCACTCTTTCAGCAACCCGCTGCTAGGCTTGAGGGGTTTAGGGGTTTAGGCTTTAGGGTTCAGGGGTTTGGGGTTTGAGGTTTAGGGTTAGTCCAGTAGCAAAAAAAGTTAATCATAGAGGCCTGAATAACAATAGTATCGTATACCCCGGGAACCTAGAGGCATAGGTCGAACCTTGTGGGGCGTACTTGGAGAATTAAGGCTTGCGGGGTTTAAGGTTCGTGGGTCTTCTAGGCAGGTAGTTTAGGCGGAGACATCACGGCCCCATGATCTGCAGAGCTTGAAGCAGGTCTAGACGAACCAGCGATTCACCATGAACCCCAAGAAAACGTTCCGGGTGTAGGGGTTAGGTTTGTCGGTTATGGGTTTGGCCGGTTTGGGCTTCAGGTTTTTGGTTGCAGGGACCTGACACAGCTCTGAACCGAGGAAGAAGATCACTGCGGCTCTCTTCGACAAAGGCCTTGCGGCTGTGTCAGGTTGGTCGAGAGCCTAAAGACTTTCGAAGAGGCAAGGCTTACCGGCAGCCACGGCTTGGAATCGTAGCTACAGACCCTTCAACTACCATTAGAAAGAAAGGTCTTGCCCACGAAAACCAAGCCTACTGAGACAAACCGCCGGACCCACTCTGTAAAGCAGTCTACACGCTCCTTTTATGTGGCCGATACAGTCAGCAAAAAGCACGAGCCCTTCCTAAACCCTGCCGGTAGTTACATACTATACCCTACTATACCCTTCAAAAGGTTAGGATCTCCTAATTGCAGTGCCGAGAAAATCGTTTGTTTGGGGATCCGCCTGTGAGTACTCCGCCACCCAACTGATTCAAAAAGGCATCAATCGTTTTGTGATTTACTACGATGCACTACGGCTAGAGGTTGCTGGATGGGGTTGGGGTTGGGGTTTAGCCTTGGCCACAAGTTTCGGGGTTCAGCTGCTAGCAGGGCTTTCTTTGTTCATAGGTTGGTTAGGTTTCAGGTACACTTTGCAGGTCTGGCTTTTCAGGAGGCTCACCGACTCGATCATGTTCTGG